TCCCTTGTCACATTGCCACCATGAAACCCTGAACAACTCCAAACTTGGTATATGGCATGGCTGTTTTAATCCCCTAGGATCATCATTTTAGAAGTCTTGGCACCCAATCCAGGATCACCCTTATGCTGGGTAGCTGAATAGATGATATATCATCAGAATACATTTATCTCCTTAGTGCCCAGCATCAGAAAAAGCAACACACATTGGTATTAAAATGGACAGGAAGACTGGAAAGAAAAAAGGAATTTCAGTAAGCATCTGTTTACTGTATTTGATCCTCTGGTTTGTTCAAGAATCATCTCACAAATCTCCAAGCCATGCAGCTATATAAGCCAAGTGCTTCTCTCAATCGAATCATAGATGAGAAAGATCTTATTCATTTATCAGCCTGACATTTAAAAACAGTGCCAACATCCCAGAGGGCAAACTAGTATAGTTGTCTGGAATGAAAGAAGAACCAGAAGAGGAGAGGCATGAAATGCCTGATCTCTTCTCTCCTTACCTAGCAGTGATGTATTTTGCTTTACTTATTACTCCTTTGCCCTTCCCTGCTAATATGACAAGAGTCTCAGGCAAACACACTAAAATAAAGAGGGGGGAGGGGATTCCGTCCATGAAATGGCCTTATGTCCAAGGGATGGTCCTCTTTTACCATCTTACACCTATGGGGAACTTTGAATCTGGTGTCACATGCTTTGTATATGTGGGTTCTGTATTTCTTGAATGAAATATCTAAGATGTAAATTGGAGGATGAAGCAAAAATGGGGTACATTTTTATGTACATCAGAAATGAATTCTAATTTAGAAAATTGGTAATTTTGAAAGAGAACATGAAATCTTTATTCTTTTTTTATTTTATAGCGCCCTGTCTCTGCACAGTCTCGATCATCAAATGCCAAATTGGTAAATATTGGGCTCTATATTGCTTCATTCATCATTTAGAAATTTAATCAGTGTACTTTGCATTTTTAAAGAAATATTTTTGCAGTAATCTTTAAAGTGATGCAAATAGTTGTGGTAAAGAGGCTAATGGACAAGAATCAAAATGTTTTTCTAAAGGCAGCATGTCCAAGACTGTGATTAATTATGGAAATATGACATTTCTTTGGAAATAATCTTTGTGTGAAAGATAATTCTAGATTCTAGATGAACCTAGTTTCTACAATTTTGTTAAATATAGGAATATGGACGGTGTATACAACAATTCCTATAAAAGATTTTTATATCCTGTATTTTCTTTTCATTTTCTGTTGTTAGATTTTGTCACTACTTTGAATGTGTCTGTTTGTCTGTCCTCCTTTAATACTTCTTCTATGAGTGCTACTTACGCTTGATAAATCCTGTTTTGAGATTAAACAAGATTATGCACAAGTATGGTAGTACTTATACCGCTTTAGGAGCCAGATTACCAATATTCCTGAAACACAGAAAAATGCTTATGTAAAAAGAAAATCGGTGCAATGCTATGCTGAGAACAAAAACCTGAAGATAATAAGAAAAGAAATATTATCTTGAAGACAATTTAGTACTGTAGTATCAGTGGCATAAACATAAAGGACACAGCAACCATTCAAGAATCCAAGGAAAACTAAAACACTAGGAATCCAATAATCCAAGCCTGTCTTTCCCAAGAGGAAAAAAACGATCAATCATCTTTCATTTTTCTTTTAAAAGAAGAAGAAATCCATATTTGAACTAGCTGCATGGGTTATATTGTTTGTTGTATTAATGAGAAGGCGCTCTAAACTAAATGGACCTTGGTATTAATCTGGCAAACTCCTTTCCTATAAGGAAAAGAAAAAAGAAAAGAAAAGAAAAAGAAATACAATTATAATTTATATAACAATAGTTTGCCCAAAGATAACAGATCAAGTATTGAAAACTTTGATAATTCTCTTTCCAGAAGGATTAACAAGTATACCATATTACTTAATTGAATCTTACTCTTTATTCGATTTCTGACAGATGCATTTTTTTCTAATAGTTCTGGAAATAACTGCTTTTGGGAACCAACAGGAAATAAGAGGAAGGGCAACTGTCACATCTCAGAATGACAGTTGTGCCTCATTAATAGGAACATAGTTTGGAACAGTGGTTCTTCTCAAGATACTTGCAACAACAAGTTCTTTTTTACTTCCCCTGTTCTAATCTGAGGATTGGACAGTGTTTTCAATGCCCCAGTTCCTAAGCAAAGAAAAGGAATGTTCCAGTGAATGCAGCTCATGTTCCTGCCAGATTGTAAGGGTAGGAAAACTACTCCTCACTCTTGCAATAGAGACTGTTAAGTGCCACACTGGGAACCTGTCTGTGTACTGTGCACTTTGTGGCTGAAAACAATATTAAATGTTTCTGGTTGGCTACAACTATTTTCTCAATATGTTGGAAGCGTCAGGTACAAAACAGTACATTTCATGCATTTCAGGAGGAAAAGATGAACTGATTCCTGGAGATACAAGAATGCATTGGATAATAGGAGACACATAAGAAGCAAATTTATCAGGCTCTTCTCATGACTTGTTTGGTTATTATGGCCAAGCTCAATTGCAGAATTGTATAAAATATATATAAGATAATTTTTGTGTATATATAATGTGTACTTTGGATTTTTTTTGTATTGTGAATCCCTTCAGTGCAAATGCAAAATAAAATATATTTCCAAGATGTTTCTGAAATGAAAATGTTTAATAAAGATTATAAATTAGCTAATGACAGGGCTTGTAAGATGAGCTACAGTATATCAAGTATATGTATATCAGTATATCAAGAGTTTTCCATCAATTTCATTGTTGATTCTCAACAAGCATTTCCCCCTAAGGGATCAGATCTATGAGAGGGTGGCGTCCTAGACTCATGACTCATGCTGGATGGGTAGTTGAAGGCCATGGCCATGTGTACCTTTGCTTAGCTCTGATTAATGCTCCAGTTGTTGCACTTTCCTGAATTTGGAGGAGTTACTCATAGCCTTGTTATCTCAGTTTAGATTTCTATAATACACTGTACATAGGACTGCCTTTGAAACCCACCCAGAACCTGCAATTGGTTCAAATGTAGTGGTCTACATGTTAACCAACCAGTATTGTTATTATCATATTATGTTATTGTGTACGCTCTGTATTGGTTACCAAAGGATTTCTGGGTGTTAATCAAAGTTAATCAAATCTTGACTTAAAGAGTCAGTGCCAAGGAATCTGCAAGATTGGTTGCTCCAACCTAAGTCTCCACCTCAGGAGATCCTTCTGAGAGAAGCTGCTGGTGGTGCCTGATTTTTTGAGATGACCAAGGGCTAAGGACAGAAAGTGCTGTTTCTCCAACATAGAAAAAATTTGGATCATGGATCAGACTCCACCAGAAATTAAATTTACTCTCTTGGTGACAGTTCTTTGGAGTTTGGGAACGTTTAACTTTTCTAGAAGATCTTCTTAGAATGCTTGCTCATTGCTGACATTTCTTCTATTTATTGTGTGTTGTAATTATTATTATTTGGTTTTTCATTTTTAATTGATGTTTTGTTGTATATTATGTTGTTTAGAACTGTGTTCCTTTAGGAGTTTATTGTCTCCAAAATCATTGATTCTAGTATTAGAGAATCAAGTGAGAACTGAGAATGTTGGCCATAGGCAAAGTTACAAGAAATATGTTTAATGCCTTGCCTATGGAGTCAGAAATCATCAATGCTGGCTCTTGCTTTGGGGTGTGTATCAAACACTGAGAATATAAAGTTTGGCTTTGGTTTCTAATGGGGCGTGGAGGCAAGGAGTATGAAACCTGGCATTTGTGCCTTTGGATCCTTCTGACTTTCACATAATTCCTGGCTTCAGTGCCTGGCAAGTGTTGTTCTTATTACTCTTTGTTAGCCAAATGCTTTTGGCATTTGAAATCTATTTAAATAACTGGAATAAAATCAGGAGGAAAAAAAGGCCAAAACTGACTTCTTACTGTGATCCTACAGCGTTCCCGGCCCCTCTCTGCCAGCGATGCTGAGATGAAAAACCTTATTCCTTCTGCAAAAGAGAAAGTTGCAGGAAGGCATGTTGGCTCCATGCTGGGCCTCTCCATGGAAGAGGTAAAACAAATCATTTATTTAATTATCAGATTTCTACTGTTAAGACCCCAAAACTCCATTAAATACTCTGGGCAACGTCCAATGTTAAAAACAGATTCAAAACAATATAACAAATTAAAAAGAATGTTAATTGTTCAGAGAGAGCAATAAAACATAACCTGGACAAAAAAGTTTCCCATTAGAAGAATCCAAAACATGAGACAGTTTGTAAGACATGTTTAAATGAGGCCAGGGCAGAGACTCTACAAATCTTCTGTGTGCCCTTGTGTGCATATGCGCACATGCACTTTTTCACAAGGCAGATGTTGCAACAAGAAGACCTGAGTCTTGGGTCCTATAAAACAAATGTCAACTCTGTACGATCAGGCAGCATTGGGAGAAATTGCAGGAGACAGATAATCTCTTCGAGAGCATCAAGACCTACGGGACCCACATGTCAGAAATTACCAACATTTCCAATACCAACATTCACTGGAACCTACTACAGAGAAAAGAGAACTACATGCCCTCACTCCTAATCCCCATAGCCAATCCAGAAGAAATACCATGATTAGTGGCATTGAATGCCACCAAGAAATGGGAAAAAAAGGACAATTGCACCACAGCATCCCATCTCTTCCAGAAGTCATTGACAAGTATGATCAGTGAGTGTATGTAAGTACTGTGACCAATTAGATAGAAATTGTCCAGTACTGTTGGGTCCAGCAGTGGCTGTTTGAAAAAAGAGCATATTGTATTCAGTCATTGCATATAAGTGTTTGTAAAAGGGAAAGGAGAATAATACTTTTTGGTTGATGTGTTTGATAACTAGATATCTTTGTCAGACTGACATCTTGGAAGTAGAGTGGACAGCAAATGTCAAAAGAACAAAGTATCTACACTCTACATTGGAAGTGTTAAAATTGGGTGCTATAACTAGGTGGTTGTTTATTTACAAGTGTTACATTTATATACTTTGGCATGTGCTGAGGAATCTCAGCTTTCTGTGAAATGAGATTCTTTCCTGAGCTTAATATTTTTTTGCCCTGGTGACTTCTAGCCTTCCTTCTGATTTTAGATAAAAGTGTTGCGCCGAGTGAAGGATGAATATGACAGAAGAGGGGGGTTCATTCGTGTATTCCCTACACCATTAACTTGGGATATTTATGGGTAAGAAAAACTTAAGAAATCAATTCTGTTTTCTTGGACTTTGTAGAATACATTTAGGAAGTAATAGATATAAATGCTGTTTTTTTTCCTATTTTTCCGTTGTTTTCCATATTTCAAAAGCATTGTAGAATAAAAGCTTACTGATTGTATCTTTCTCTATGATCAGTATTTTCCATTAGTTGATACTATGACATCCTTACTTGTTTGGGTATTCCTCCTTCCAAACTTATAATGTAGGCTTTTTTTCCCTTCTTGTTTTTTATAATAACTTTTGATATTTTCTTCTGTTCCAATACTTTTCTTTTTCATGGTGAAATTTAACTCTCTTACTCTTGGTTTCTTAGGCCTTTTCTGGAACATAAGACCACAATGAATTATATGCTGGCGACTCGTCTTTTCCAAGAAAGGTAGGAAAATTGTTATAGTGTTAACATGTACAGTGAGGCTCCTTTTGTAGGAGACGCAGCGTGGTGGCAGTAATTCTTTGAAATACAAGCGCAGCTCAGTAGGTTCACATCTTCTGATCTTGCACTACTTCTTTGAATTTTTCTATGCTCTGGTTGGTGTCAGCTTTGATGCTGGTGATGATAAAACTCTGTTAAAATTAATTAAAAATTGAAGGGATGGTTTTCAGGGCACTAGCCAGTCCCACAGCTGCATGCTTCTTTGGGCTCCCCATGTGAGGCCCCAGAGGTATATTTTAACTCCTTTTTGTAAGCCCAGGAGAATGGGGGCCTGTCTTGCCTGGGGGAGGAGAGAATATTCCACAGGGCGTGTGGAACAGCATAGATACTGGACTCCACCAGTTGAAGTTCTGATGAGGTCTGCAACATACTTTTCCTGTCTGCCTGCCTGCCTGCCTGGGTGGGATGGGTTGGTGTAATGGGATGAAGATAGTTCCATAGGTTTTTTTTTATATCTCAGTTCCTTTTTATTTTTTCACTTCTTAGTAACTTCTTTTCTACACCATTGTAGGGTGTGTGTGTATCCTAGTCATTCTGTGTATCAGTGCAGCCAGAATTTGAAACCATTCCAGGCAATAAGAGTTACAACACTGTAATATTAAAGTATGTTATATTTAGCATTGCATAGCAATTGCAGTTATCAAAAGAAAGCCATGGTAGCAGCCTGGGAAAAACTGGGATATTGAAGGAAAATAACATTGGGATGTAGGATGTGGATTTCACTGTGTGCCATGTGGTTCAGAAATTATATCAGTAAAGTAAATTATGTAAATTGAATCAAACTGAAATAGTAAAAAGTGCTAGAAAATATGACAAATGATAGTGAACATAGAGAAGGAGTGCTTATAAGTATAGTACTGAAACTGTATGACAGGAAGATTTAAATTGTTGATGACTACTTATAAGCTGAGGAAGACAGAATAATTAATATGTAAATAAGAGGAAGACAATCCCAAGAACATAAGAATTGACTTTCTGAAGTAGAATAAAGTCTTTTAAATCTACAATTTTTCCCAACAGTTCTCTGTCCAGATGCCACAACAGCTTTATAACTGTCTTCTACTGTTCTGTTAATTTGTTTAGTTCAGTGGCATTTTATTTGGATTCTTTATTATGTACAACATTTAGGTATCACTAAATAATCCGGCTATTATTGAAGTCAGAAGTCACGTCTGACTTCAAATCAGTTCAGTGAAATAGAACCACTCTAATTAAGATCTTCTGTTAATCTACCAATTTTTAAAACATTTTTTCTTTAATTTTTACAGACCTGCATTAGATCTGTTATTTTATCCAATAATTACTAGGTTTTTTAGAATCCTTTTTTTTTTAAAAAAAGAAATTTTATTTATTTTTTCAATCATAAAAAAACAATCATAAGTAAACACAATGACAATAACCCCCCCCCCCCAGACTTCCCAAACCTAATCCCAGGATAATATTCATATGAAAGTAAACAAATACTAATATCTCTAACTCTACAAAATATCTTAATCTACAAGAAAAGATAGTAGAAATAAACCAGCTTACAAAATTAAAAACCTAACCTGTATTCTACCACTTTATATTTCTTTTGAATATAAACAATCCATCTTCCCCATATTGA